CATTTTCTAATCACACTTTTTTTACTTTTTAAAAACTTTTAACATATTTTATCTCATATGACAATTATTTGTGAACATCTTATCTCCTTACAACTCCGTAAGACAAAACTGATTTCATTCATCTTTATATCCCTCATGATAACTAATGCCATTTATATTTTCCACAACAAATTTTTAAGATCTGTAAAACACTGTTTAAAATGTTTATAGGCAAAGTTTAAGTCACTATTTGTGTATGAAAAGGATAATTCATTCTAACTGAAATGTCTTTACTGCCCACTTCTACCCTAAACACTAAAAAATTGCTGTCTCTAGTTAGAACAAAGTAGTTTGGCTATTTTAGAGAAAGCATTATGGAATAGATAGTATACTTTGACTATTTATTTTGACATTTCAGTTTAAGAAACCTTTGATCTCCTAATTTGATATTGTCTTTCCAAAAAAACACTTCCTTGTCAATCATTTCATACATATGTATAAATTTTTTTGGTATGAAAAAGTGTTCTAAACATCAATAGCAATGATTTAATTCAGATGGTAAATGAAATATTTTTTAATTTATATGATGTGAAAATATAAACATAATTTTGAATATGCACCAATCCCAGTGGTCAAAGTACTATTTTTAGTAATTAGTGACTATCTAAGTATTTTTCTAATACTGCACATGTTTTTCAATAGTAGGATATATTAGATGCATAGATTAGATCTAAAATATTTTCTCCTGCTTCTGTGAACTATTATTTTTATTGAATGTAACCTGGAACAGAAAAAAGAATTAGCTGTTCCTAAAAAAATTCCTTTTATGATTTAACATTTGAATGTAAATACATGGGCCACGTTATCAGTAGTTTAGAGACCTAAAATGCCAAAATGCTTTTCAATAATATTTACTTTCAAATACATGCCTCAAAATATGGCTTTTACATTGATACTTGAAATACCATGAGGAAGATTATCACAAATAATCTTTTACTTTTCCCATACAGTTACACTTAGAACTCAAATTTGAATTTTATTACTTAAAGCACACTATGTAATCTCAAGCAATTATTGTAGCATTTTATAATATTATAATAGAATCTCAGAGCAAGAATAGACTTCAGAAAGATGTGGCCTATTCCCCATTTTATACGTGAAACAACTAAGTCCAAAGAGAAAAATAACTTCCGCGACGTACTATCCCTTGAAGATGGATTTTAACCAGAATCCAGGTTTCCCTATTTCCAATTCAGTGTGCCATCCACCATATCACATTGAAACCCTTTTTTTGAGACATATTCTTAAAATGTCTTATTATGAGATCAATCAAATTGACCTGTCACTTTGATAATCTTTGTAATAAGAATCTACATAAATTAATATAAAGTTTTCAAGACCCTCCTAATATTTAAAAATTAACAGAGTCTAATTTTCCTTCTATATGTAAAGCCCTGTGAATAAATTCAGTACCTACCTGTCAAAGGAATGAAACTGCATGGGAAGAATAGCTTGCGCTTCTCTCTTCAGTGCTGGATCTGGGTATGGGATAGGTTCAGGGCCACATTCTGCGATTTCAACAGGGGCAGCCACAAGACTTTTCAATATTTCTTTGACATTGATGCCTTTAGTTTGACTAATGCTAGATATGGAAGGTGCAGGCTTCAACATTTCACCAGGATTTTCAGTTAAGCTCTCCTGGGATTTCTTCACTTCAGATGACAAAGTGGATAAGAGTTCACTCATGGCATCAGGGCCTGCACTAGTCTCTAATTCTGCCCCATTCAGGATGCTAGCTACTTGCTCCTCTCCAATTCCTGAATCTGTATGAGGAATTGAACTTTCTAGCTGAATATCTTCACCAGGAGTTGGTGTTTCTTTTTCCTTTGCAGCATCTGGAAAAGCAGCAGGTGTTTCTGTAATAAAAGAAACTGGTTTTTTTAAAAAAAAAAAAA